TATTAAAATACGAAGTAAATTTGAGAACACTATTTTGTTATTTGAAGGGCTATCTGTGCTCTGCCCATCACAGGTATCAAAAACCCAGTTTCTAGTGGTATAAGTCCGCAAACATACTGCTGTGCCACTGAAGGGGGATAAATCAAAAGGAAGGACTGTGTTTAAAACAGGAAATCCAAACCTGTGATAAATGACATTTAAATGAAAAAAAACAAGCCTAAACAAAAAAAAAATTAAAGATGCTGCATAAATTAAAAGGATTCGCAGGGTACAGGCTATAATTTGGGATATAAAATGTGCCCTGGGTTTTATATCCTACTTTATAGCCTGTACCCTGGAGAACCTTTTAATTTATGCAGCATCTTCAATTAAATTTTTTTTGGGCATGTTTTGTACATTTATATATATGTTTGTGTGTAAAGCACAACCATATCACATAATACTATATGATGTTTTTCTGTTGAATAATTATGAAAACTGATACACATTTAGAGTTGCAAATAATGAGTATTTGCAACTAGATGATGAATTTATTAATGATAAAAACTTTATCACATAAAATTAAAAGTGAATAATTTGTGCATTATACTTGTGTTTTTTATCTGAACCCTTTGCTTCACACATAGCATTACACCATGTTTTCATGCTGTCATACAGTTTATCAATGTATGAATTTTGGAATATTGTTTCAAATGTCTTGCCTTATTTCCATAATTCAGGCAAGTTGTTTAATTGTCTTTTAACCCTCTCACTTTTCATATGAGCCCATTTCAGCTGACACTTGAGATAACTTCATTTTTTTTTCCTCAGCATTGTCTAGAATGGACATGTTTTAAACTTATTAATCAGTTACGTGAGATTTGCTATGATTTATGAAACTTGATCTTCATTCAAAGTTTTACTGATTTCCTTTATTACTAAATGAAAATCGACTTTGAATTCGTAAATGATGGTAACTTCCACTTTATCCAGTATTAGTGATGATACTCCTAATATGAGACCTTTGTTTACTGGGGAGATCATTGTCTATGGAGGACATGAAGGCCATTGCTTGATATGTTTTCAGTTCCTTCATGCATGCTGGGTCTTTTTCTCCCATCTGTTTGGCTGATGGTCCTTCTATCTAATTGGATGAGATGATAATGATTTGCCTGGCTATTTCTCCCACAAGGTTTAGTTCTAGGCACAGTATTCTTTGTGGAAGAGTGTCCTCACCCTACTACTCTCTTCCTTGACATGAATTTTCAGGTATGTTCCTTTCTTTCTCTTTCCCCTTGCCTTCTTATTCTTCCCATGCTTTACTTCATGTAACCCATATTCAGGACTGCTTTATTTTTCATATTTCAACTGATTTTATGGTCCATGCTGGCTTGTTTTTTGAATAACTCTATACCTGTACTACCATATCATGTCCTCCTCATTTACTTGCCTCTTTTCTCCCAGCTTACAGCCATTCTTCATTTCCATTACTCAATTCCTAGTCTTTACCTCTGTTTACTTTACTGGTGTCCAATTTTCACATTTTTTTCTCTTATTTACCACCATCCTACATTACTTCTCATCACTTAACTTCACTGTACTCCTAAAAGTGTTTTTTGGAGAAGTTTGTTCTCCTCTTTTCACTGCATTAATCAGTAGTACTTCTGATCTACCACTTGTTACTCAGTTTCTCTGTTGTTGGGATGCATTTCTCTCCTACCTAATGTACACCTCTCTCACACTTCTACCCAAGGTCTTCATTGGGCTCTATTTTTATTTTGTCCAAAAATCATCAGGATTGTTCCTGTCTCACTGGAGACCCAGACTGAGGTGGTCCAACACCTGTCCTTGTTGTACACTATGATTTCTCATCCTTCACAACCTTGCCTTTCTATTCTTGTTTTTAGACCTGCTGTATCTCCATTTCCCTTCCTTCCCAAGTGCCTCAGCAGTAAGTCTAAAGGTTTATGATGCTAAAAACAAAACTTTGTTTCAATACCTATTGTACCAGAGCACAGATAGCCCATTGTGTAGCTTTGTGCTCAACAACAAATAAACAAACCTCCCCAGCCTTCCTTTGCTTCCAATCCTCCCTCTTTCCGATATCAAGGTTATCACTTGTCTTGTTGGTGACTATCTTGGTGGATCTAACCCTGCAGAAACCCACCTGTCTCTTTATATCTTTCATTGAGCCATGTAGCTGTGTTTCCATTGTTATGCATGATTGACTTCTGACCCCTTCTTGGGAGAACTCCTCTCACACCTGCATTTTGTTTTGCAGGATGCCAAATGAATAGACTACTTTGTTAATCCTTTCTTGTTTTTTCTGTGTGTGAAGGTATCTATTGGAAATACGTTTTCAGATTAGTAAAATGTTAACTTCTCTATTACTAATTGTTGTCAAACAACTCGAGCTTAGTTTCATCTGTAAGGATATTGTGTTTCTGGCTTTACTCATTCCACTGTTTTAGGTTCAGTGTTTGGTTACCTCTTTTTCAGGAGAAAATTTCAATTAACTACACTGAGACCACCTTATGTTAGTGTATACATTACTGTTTTTGAGGTAACATTCCTACCTTTATTCACAGCAAGGTAAATTGCAAGACCAGTGCTAAATTATCATCTATCTCATAAATAACATATCCTGAGTTTTATGTACCCTTTCAGTATTTTGCATACAACTGCTACTGAAACATGGAGTATCCTTGACCAGCAAAACTTTGGTTTCTTCACACTTACCATGCACTTACCATACAATTCAGTAGTTTGATTCTCTGTTTCTTTGAATGGCCATAAAGATAACATTAATTATTGAAAAAGGGTTCAATGAAGCAATTGGTTTCATACCAATACTTAAAATTCTCTTCAATTTGCTTAATTAATGTTAAATTGTATGCTTGTGTTTGGTGGATAATGGTATTTTTAAACTTACAGTCATATTTCTGTGTTAACAAGGATATGGATATGTATTCAGAATTAAATGAGAAAATTTTTATGTCTCTTCATTTTTGAGCAGTTATTGTGCAACTTGAAGTATGTTTGGCTTGTTCTGAAAGAGCCTCTGTACAATGGTCCTTTGAGAAAGGTGCGTAACTGAAACACCTGGTTATAAAATTCTGTTTTTTAAAATCTAAATTGTAATAAAGTTGTTTAAACAAGTGTGAGGTTTACAGAAAAGTTTCAGCTATATGAACATTTGTTTTATTTAATATTACAGAAAACAGTGTATATCAGTTTTTTATCCAAGCCAAAGATAGAGGTTTTCCACGACAGCAGACTGAAGTTCCAGTTAGTATTCACATTAAAAGTCCAAGTCAAGAAGCTCCACAGTTTGAGGAATTTAACTATGAATTTTTCCTGAATGAAAAATCAGAAATTGGTAAAATAATTGCAACACTAAGTATTGTTTATCCTGAAGAGGTTACTTATTCTTTTGCACCAACAAATGAAGAGTCAGATGCTCACCTCTACTTATCAGGCTTCAGTATTGACAACCAAGGTCATATTATGCAGGTTGCAAGTCTAGACAGAGAAGATAGAGAAACCTATAATCTGACTATTCGAGTGGAATCTAAATCTCAGCCCCAGCTGGCATCATATACAGATGTAAGCATTATTTTGATGGACGAAAATGATAACAATCCAGTGTTTGAGTCAAGTCCTTACCATGTAACAGCTGCAGAGAATGTTGAAGAAGGGTATACCGTGACTAGAGTGGTAGCTTATGACCTTGATATCTCTAATAGTGCTGAAATTGTATTTTCATTTGGTACTAATGCTGAAGATATTACCAAGTTTTTTGACTTGGATCCTAATGAAGGCTGGATTACCACTAAGGCACCCCTGGATTATGAAAGTGTACCATGGTACAACTTCTCTGTGATTGTACATGACAATGGCTCTCCACAGCTGTCTTCACAGACAATGGTTTATGTTGATGTTAAAGACTACAATGATAACCCACCTGTGTTTAAACGTAGCTACTATGAAAGCTCCATCTTTGAAGATGCTTTGGCAGGGACTATTATAATTGTATTAGAAGTTGATGATCCAGATAGTGATGCCAGTGATGATCTACAGTTTTATATCACCAGTGGTAATCCACAGGATTGCTTCCAAGTCAGTACAGTTGGTGAAATATATGTGAACAAGCCTCTGGATCGAGAACAAATACCAAACTACAAACTAACAGTCACCGTTACTGATGGAAGATTTGTGTCAACTACTGCTGTTGCTGTTGAGGTTTTAGATGCTAATGATAATCCTCCTGTTTGTCATACAGTAAGTATTAATGAAAGTGTGTTCAGAAATTTGTTGATTTAGTTAGTTATGATATGCAAAACTAGTATGAATGCTTTAAGTAAATTTAATGTTAGAAAAGAAATGAAAGATATTCTTTTTTTTTTATGAGTTATTTTTGGAATTAAAATGATACTTTACCTCTACCATAACCATTATCCTGGCTTTGCTTAAACATCACTTGTATGATCTGCAAACTTCAGCTTCAATTCCTTTTCATGTATGTTATGTTCTCTACTGGAATTATTGTATTTCATTAATGAACAACCATAGCCTATGTTATGCTTGCTAAACCATATTTTGTCACATTTTTACTTTTTGCATTAAGATGACATTTTATCATATTTGATACAATTTCAGACTTAGGTGTAATAGAAGCTACAATTTTATAATTCATTATACTCGGAGCCTTTCAGAATTTTTCAATAACAAGCAAAATGAGGTGAAAGAAGTACTTACTTTCACGCTATGCTACTATGTATAATCTTTTTTTTTTTTTTACACACATTTTAGGATATTGTTAATACAGCATCCATTACAAGCCTGAGCCCAAGTTTTGAAGAAAGCTGTTTTGGCTTAAATGCGATATTTATACTCAGTATTATAATAATAGGCATAAGGACTTTACTCTGGAACATGAAAAACTGAGTAATCAATATTTAGCAGGTCTACCTGTAGCTTTAACTGTAATGTTGCATCAGTCAGACAAGGATGCTACCAGTTGTTTTTCAGACTGTCGAGTGGTATTTCCTTCATTTTTGCTATATTCTCCCAAAATTGTCATATATGAACAGGCTTTTCTTTTGTGACATTATTCTTTAACTGGTGCTATAAATCTTTGGTTAGATTAAAATTGAGATCTTTAAGTAGCTGTTTTGTAACCTTTAAATCACTAGCACTTTCTTTCATTGAATACCTCTTATTCAGCAGGGCAATATATTTTGTATAATTTTCCATTTGAAGTTCAAAGCCAGGGTCATTCAAAAATCATTCTTCATTGGTCAGTGCATGACAAACCAGGATACTGTGATACTTTTATTCATAATACCATCGATTCTGACGGTATCACCCATTCCTGCTTCTCTGTTTTATTTCCACACTCGTGTTTGACTTTCTAATGATCAAGTTCCCAGATAAAAACTTTCCTACAGTTTCCATTTGTCATTTTATATTGCATTGGTTTATTCATGCTTTCCATTTTTATGATCCTCAGTAAACTGTAATTAGTTTTTGGCTGCATCTTTTCTAGGTAGTTCACTTACTAATATTGCTGCAACCACCTTCAAATAGGTATGTCACTGATGTACATCTGTTGTTTTGATATTTAATTTATGGGATATTTTGAATCTTAACTATTTAAGCTTCTGATTTAGTGACATGCTTTTTTACAGTTATCATATCTTATACTACATGATGTTGGATTTTACTTCTGGTTACTCATGTAAAGAAATGCCACATTTAACTTCCGATGTTATCAAAAGTTGTATTAATTAAGTAATTTATCAGCAAAATGATAGTTAAAAAGGTAGAAATACTAACCCTTCAAGATGATGTTTCTGATTTTTACTAGAAACTAGATTTCATGATTGTAATTTGAAATATTTTGTGCATATGTTATTATGTATATAAAAAGCTTAATTAAACACCTTAAAGTTAAAATTTTGGAAGGTAAAAGCTTGGCCAGCCAAAATAGCCATTTTTGTGGCCACTAGGTTGTATCATTTGTCAGTCTCCAAAGAAAAATAAAAGCTATTTAATTGTTCTTTGGATGATTGCATTATTTTATTCAGTTTATTGAATGTAGTTATATCCAAATGATTAATGCAATTGTTTACAAGACTTTTACATTCAGGTAATATTTCTTAATATATAGATTTTACCTAAATACACTTTCCACTTTCTTACCCATAATATGGAGCTATTAATGTTTAAAAGACTTTTAAGATATAAGATTTTATCCCTGATTTTTTTATATATATATATAATTTTCATTCTTTGTGACAGTATATAATTTTGTTGTTACAACATTTTATTTCATTTTGATCTGGAACATTGAGCACTTTTTTAATAAGACTATAACTTCTAAGAATCTAAAACAAATTTTAATAATAAGGTTTACTGTTTTTTTTTTGTTGTTAAGTCTAAGTACACAGAACTGGTATCAGAAAGCATTGAACCTCAGACCTACATCTTGACAGTGAAAGCAACAGATAAAGATGAAGACAGAAACTCTAAACTGTATTACTTCCTCACTGGGGAAGGAAGTGAGGATTTTTTTATCAACCCAACATCAGGTAAAGAAAGAATTCTAAAAGAAATTATTCTAAAGGAATTGCATAATTAAAGATAACTTGCCTTCTTGTAAAGCTCACCTCGTTGAATTGATTTTTTATTGATAAAGAAATATGTTTTTATGTATACCACTTTTTGTATAATTTTTCATTATATGTTTTTAACATAATATTTATGAATGTCATAGTAAACCATTTTGTTACTTTGAAATTCTATTACCTGAATAATTGAATTGTGTGGCAAACTGTCAGTAATTTTTTATTAATGTAGATTACCAGATAATACGTTATCTTAATTGTTTATTTTATCAAAACTCAAAACAATGAATTTGTACAGTCTTTTATATAAATGAGTTTGAAATTTCGATGTTAGATGTTCTCCCTCAATTAAAAAATGAATGATATATCAAAGTTTAAGCTACTGTTGTAGAAAAATCAGAAAGTTTAGCAAAAGCATTATAATAATAACAGAAAACCTCTTTGTTAGAGTTACCATATGGCAACTGAAAGAGTTAATTTATTTCTGCAAAACTGTGTTATTTGCACTTCAGAAAAACTTCTGTCTTCCTATTAATGTGTTCAGTTTTGAGAACAGTACAAGTTTATTTCACATATTATATCTAACTAGGACAAATGGTGTATTTACTCTCTTTTTTTTTTAGTTCAGACTTCTTACTGTTATCAAGTAAGGTTTACTTTTCTAAACCTTTAAAATAGGTGAATCTCATTATAAATTTTTGTTTTTGTTAAGCTGATTAATCAAACAATCATTTTAATTAGGTATTTTGAAAACTGATAAGCCACTTGACAGAGAGCACCAACCTCGATACTTTCTTATTGCTCATGTGCAAGACAAAAACAAACAAGAGTGGGAATGCACTAGTACAGTTGAAATTTTCCTGAGTGATGTGAATGATAACCCTCCAGATTTTGCAGCTGAAGTTTACACTGTAACAATCCCTGAAGATTCCAAAGTTGGCACATTAGTCACCAAAGTACATGCTATGGATAAAGACTTGGGTAAAAATGCTAGTAATTTTCTGTATCTAATGATTTTTTTGTGATTAATCATGTATAAAAAAATTAAATAAAACATTGGAGTATTACTCCAATGTTTTGCCATTATGGCTTCATTGAGGCAAACAAGATGTTTGCTAACAATTAGCAAGTGTCTTGTTTGCCCCAGTGAAGCTGTAATGGCGAAACATTGGTTTAAGTAAAAACAACTATGTTTTTTGGAATAATAGGATGTGTTTTGTTTTTTGTTTTATTTTAACAATGAATACTACTCTCCAGTTTGCACTACAAACTTTAAATGACTCATAATTAAGCATGTATCTTATGCTTCCTCATTAATGTTTTCATTTATATAGGCATACAAAAAATATTTAAGCCTTTTATTGGGAGATTTTTATCATGTTTGCTAAACTTGTGTCAAACTTGTTTGCTTGATCTTGAACCTATATTTCTAGTTGCTATGTGATCAGTCTATGGTAAATGAGGTTGTTGCAAATTTCTGTTGAGTACATTAATCTTCTGATGATTGGTTTTACATCAAGCAATGTTATTGACTGTGTAATAGTACTATGTATTTCTTTTAGCAAAAATTTTTATTTTCTAATTTAACTATTTATATAATATTCTTAATTTTAAACATGTGACAAGTTTGGTCAATAGAACATTATTTTTGTAGATTTTTTTTTTTACATAAACATTAGTTAAACAATGATTTTGTGGAAAAGTAATCCCCAATAGGATAACTTGACAAACAATCAGTTTAAACTGTATAGATATGCAATTGGGATACAGCGTTATCAGGATGATTCAGAATCAAAGAGTGTTGATTTAGTGACTCAGAATTAAATGTAACTCACCCATACTTAAAGTGAGTAGTTAGTGGGGATAGATTTGCAGTGTTTATATACTTTTGAGGCTAACTGCTCAGTTAATGATTCTTAGACATTGTTTTCAGTATAACCTACTCAGACTAATAATGGCTGGAGACGGCTTGAATGGGTAATAAAGAAAACTTTAACTATAAGTTTAACTATAACTA